AGCCTTTTGCGGCCGACTAGATCCGGCCCTTGAGTGCACGGACACGCCTTCAAACCCACCCCTAAAAAAAAATATATGGATAAGAAACTGAAAGGAGGTCCTTGTTTTCTTGCGTCCGAGCCCGCATTGGCCTGCTAAGCCTGGTACGGGCAATTCACAGAGAAGCATCTGCGTTTAATCAGCTTTGCAAAATAATCGTACAGATTAATCTTAGCTCCTTGCGAGCGGAACGGCCTGTGGGGCCCCTTCCTTCTTATCCTCCGTAGGCGGCAGGCGGTTGAGAATTAGTCACTGATCAGAAAAAGACAGGAAGACGCCTGCCTACTTAGAAGCACTGCATTTTCTCGGTCGAAGCCGTATCAGCAGGCTGCTTTACTTTTTATTGGCAAGTCGCTGTGGTGACTGGGGACCACTCTGGATTGCCCACCCCCACCCCCCCAAAAAAAGAAACACCGGCGGCTTTTCTGCCCCATGATCTGAAGAAACCAGGTTGGCCTGGTCTGTGTCCTTTTCTGTCCACCCTGCCTTTTAGGAATTTGGTTCAGACCATTTCCTAACTTTCAACAAAACTCTGTTCCTAGAGGCATCTTGTGATTTCGAAAAAGCCCGATGCCACTTCAAAGAAAAATCCGTGAATAAATGGAAATTTCCCTTTTAACCCGACAAGAAAGAGCCGGGAGGGGGGGGCTGTTAGCTGTGCCAGCCAGTGTAATGCTGGCAGCTTGATTTTCAGTAGCAAATTGGTATAACCTAAGAAGACGGTGTAGGTATTTCCTGCCACGTGCCAATTACATGACTTGGTGTGTGACAGGAGACACCTACTCTGACTTCTTAATTTATTACAGTTACACTACTGAAAGTTACACTGCTGGGGTTCCCTTGTCAGAAATACTGTACATGACAGGGTTCCAGGTAGTATGTTAGTAGCTTTCAAAAAAAGAAGTGTGAAACAAGAGCATTGTGTTCTGGACATACCATTGGCTGTTGGCCATGTGCATGCTGTGATGTCATGGACAGAAGTGGGAAGGGCTAGGACGTATTCCTTCCATTGGAAAGCAAAGATGGCTTTCCCAGGAGCGAGGAGAGGAGAAGGAAAAAAATCACTTTCCCAAGGATTAAAAATTTCCGGTTTCTTATAGGATCTTTCATTGACCATCTTGAGCTTCCACACCACTAAAAGCATCTTTATCGTGTGGTCCTTAACCTCAAGTGGACCACAAGTGCCAGCCTTTGTAAGCCGTAAATTGGCGCCTCCTCACAAATACGAAAACCAGCCTTGGAAGACAGGCCATAAAAACACCCTGGGGTATAATTCGGTTGGCTTGGCGTCCGTTCCAGCGGTTTGAAACCTACTCAAAGCTGCTAACAGTGAACTACTAAAATTTAGTAGCGTCTGCTACTTAAATGTTGTCTGCTTTAAAGGAAAAAGAAAAGTTTGAGGTCCTAAATGTTGACCCAGAAATGTTTTTCAGAGCAGAAGCAGAGGACATGGGAGCCCCAAATGGAAGGTGGGGATCCCAACCTCTCATAATCCTGAGATGGCTCTTGCTAGATGTTTAACCCGCTCGGTGTAGGAACTCTGGGAAATGTGGTTTTTGGGAACGAATACGAATTCACTGCGAGAGGGTTCTCGTGCTGAACCAGAGTGGTGAAGGTACCTCACACCGTCCAAGAATTCCTTGGATAGATCCATGACCATGATAGCCACTCCTAGAACAGTGTCGTATGGGTAGACTCTTAAGCCTTCATTAGTTACAGGAGCACAGGGCTTACCATGTTCATTGTTCTATAAGGTTGCTTTTATATATTTTATTATTTATGTACTGTGCAGTTTTACCCCGCCTTTCTCCTTTTAAAAAGGCAGCTTGCATGATTTACATGAAAGACAAGATTTAAAGCGGAAAGCAATAAGTATACAAATATTAAAAGGATTAAACCAATACCACAGTAAATGATGCTCAACAGAAGCAACATCAAAACGTGTTCAGAATGAGCAGAAAGGCACAAATATCTGCTGAGTAGTTAGATTTAGGTATCTGGCTGTGGAACCAGAGGTTCGATACCCCACTGGGTTTTTGTTGTTGTTGTTGATTTTGTTTATCTTTACAGTGGCTGGACTCAGTGATCCATAGGTTCACTTCCAGCTCTGCAATTCTAAGAGGGTGGTGATGATGATGATTTCAGATCCCCACTTAGGCAGCCAAGCACTCTGGAAAGCTTGATTTGAAGAGGAAAGCTCTTAGCTTGCTTGCGGAAGGAGAGCTAAGATGGGCCCAGCCCGGTTTCCAGTGGGAGGGAGTTCCAGAGTAGCGGAGCAGCGACAGAGAAGAAGGCTCTTTCCAGTATTCACTGTTCTGTGACATTTGGCTCGCTCTTAACCAGAGCTTGGAAATAATGTGTCCTACTTAATGTGCAAATGTGTGTAAACTGTCACAAACGCAGCCGAGCTGGCTTGTCTTCTGCTTGGGAGCAGATGTTGTAGAGCCGTTGAGCGGATCGCAACTTGGCGGTGTCCGTTTCTACTTGAAGCTGGAGCTGCTGAAGGCTTTGCCCTTGGGTGGTGGAGGGTCCCGGAGTGCCTCCCGCCACCCCGAGGCGAAGCCTAGAGCAACCAACACACCTGGGGGGGGGGAGCTCTTGAAGTTTGCAGTTTCCCTCCTGTGAGCGTCACTGAACAACTGACCCAGTGTCTTGGGTATCTTGCTAGGATTATTTGGGGGGTCTCTCGGTCCTCACTTTCTGAAGACTTCAGCACCCAGCAGCTGGCCTGTTTGAGAGGATTTCTAAGGCAGCTAAGCCCGACAGTCAGAGGTTATGCCTTGAATTTAGTAGCTGGTTCAATATCTAGAAAGTTCCCCGTGCCAACGCCTGGGCTTTTAAGTCCTAGCGAGACAGCCCGGCTTTGCACACGTTTTGCTTTTTAAAAATTATTATTGATTTAAGAGGCTGCCTTCCAGAGAGATAAGGCCTCCTGGGAGATCACACCCTTCGAGTCCCAATCGAGAGACAAAGCTTACTCTCGGGTTTCTGCTCTGGAGGCTGGAGCACCCAAAGGGAGCTCTCTGGGGAGGGGTTCTTCCTTTCCTGCAAGAGGAGGTGGGAGTAGACCGGTGCAGGGGGTTGGACTGCTGCCGTTGTTCAAGAGCTGGCTCGGCTCTCCTTCTGGAACAAAGAACGACACCCTTGCAACACGGCTGGCTTGTGAAACCGGAAGGAGAAGTGGAGAAGAGCAGGACACGTCCCTCTAAACTAGGCCCTTAGTTAATCTGCAACCGCAGGAGGGGCGAAAGGGGAAGCCCAGGCCAGTGAAACAAGTACAGTACTGTACAAACTTTGTGCTGCGGAAAGGCAAACACAGCTATTCTGCGGGAAGCGGTGGTGGACGGGGCCATAGAAGGGGATTTGTTAAAGGGCATAGGGCCCCTGTGGGTGCTGAGGTTTCAAAATGGGCTCAGGCGGGCAGCCCGAGGGCCACAGACCTGCTGTGGCCCAATTTCAGAAGCCTTCTGCAAGGGACCACTTAATCCCTGGGGTGAGAGAGATCCTTCTCCTGTGTGTGCCCCCCTGGCCAGGCCAGGGAGAGGGGGAAGAGGGGGCTTGGACACCTCGGGGGGGGAACCAAGCACAATCAAACCCAGGCACACTTTTTTTTAAAGGTGCCACTGAAGTGTGCAAAGAGACTTTTGCACATGGACCACAATGCGTACATGAGGAAAAATGCTGGAACGGAGTGTCAGCTTGTGTGCTCAGGAGTGGAAAGTGGAAAAGGCCGACGAGCAGCCAAGGGTGGTTTCTGCCCACCACCCTGAAATATCGTGCATTTAGACTCTGGCTCTTAGAATCATATAATCACAGAAAAGGGAAGTTGGAAGGGGTCTACAAGGCCATCCAGTCCAACCCCCTGCTCAAGGCAGGAATCCAAATCAAAGCAGATCTGCCAGGAGATTACCCGTATTTTTCGCTCCATAAGACGCACCTTTCCATAAGACGCACCAATTTTTTAGGAGAAGAAAACAGGAAAATATAATCTGTTTTCTTCGCTCCATAAGACTCACAGACTTTCCACCCCCCCGTTTTGTGGGAAAAAAGTGCATCTTATGGTGCGAAAAATATGGTATCTAAGTTTCTCTTGAAGGCCTCAAGCGTTGGAGCCCTTGCCAACCCCCGAGGTCACTGGTCCCACTGTTGTACTGCTCTAACAGTGAGGAAGCATTCCTGATATTCTGGCTTCCTGTAGCTTATTGTATATGTTCTACACTGTGGGATGAGTGAGAACAGATCTTGTCCCTCTTCTGTAGGACAGCCTTTGAAGTATTTGAAAAGTATTATCATATCACTCCTCTGTCTTCTTTTCTCAAGGCTAAACTTGCCCAAACATGCACTTCTTTCTGTGAAGTGATTTCCTATCTCTTCTTGCTGTTCCCTTTCAGTTAGAGGGGAAGACCTGAAGGCATGGAAGCCACCAGCCTCGGGGGGGGGGGGCTTCTGTAACTCAGTTCAGGACTCTTCCTGCGATGCCCGTAAATGGCTTTCCTAAGTGGGGTTCCTTTTTCTGCCTTGCAGCCTGTCTCCAGAGCTGTTGCTTTGCTTGGTGGTGACAGATTCAGCCGAGGGCCATCAATAAATCCTACCCAAATATTAGGCTCATTTAGGGGAAATGCATACAGCCATTTCCATGCACAAAGAGAAAAAGAACACACAGAAATAGCGTGCCCCTGACCCAAACAAAGGGTGGGAGAAGAAGGCAGGCTATATAGAACTTGCCTGTTTCCTAGAAAGAGGAGGAAAGGGAGGCCAAGAATGATCCAGATCCCCAGATTCTGCTTTGGCCGTTTTTGGTGCACACACACACCCCGACGGAGACCAAGTTTCCCACTCCGGCTCTTGGGTTAACGGGGTTCTTCGAGGTGTGAGATGAATGGGAAAGGGGCCACCTGCACCGGCTTTGTGCCCTCCGAGCGAGTGGACGCTCTGATTTGATTTTCCCGGTTGCTTTGTAGGTACGACGCAGGAAAAGACGGCTTCATTGACCTGATGGAGTTGAAGTTGATGATGGAGAAGCTGGGGGCGCCGCAGACACACCTGGGATTAAAGAACATGATTAAGGAGGTGGACGAAGATTTTGACAGCAAACTCAGTTTCCGGGAGGTGAGGCTCCGTGGCCTGGAGAGTGGCACGAGGCTCCTCTGTGCGTTGACCCCCCAAAGCGGGCTCCGTGGTGTCTGATAGAGCTTCTTCCTCCCCAGTCAGCGTCCCCGAGACCCTGTGGTTCTCTCTGGTTCTGTGGCATCAAGAAATTGGTGTGCAGATCTTTGAAGAGAAGAAGGTGGGGGGCCGCTCCGAGGCACTGCGGGGTGCCGCCTTCCTGAAAGGCAGGGTGGGGAGAGGGAAGGAATGGAGCGTGGTGTGGTCCGGCTGCTGCCCAAAAGCTGCCAGTGGCATCCAGGTGTGTTGGGCTGCCAGAACATAGCTGGGGTTGATGGGAGTTGTAGTGAAACCGATCTGAATGGCAGCAGCAGGGAAAAGATCTTACACAGCAGGTGGCTAAACTTAAATGCTGAGTTTAATCTTATGCTCCTTCTTCAGATTCTGGCTAAATGCAAACTTTGGGGCTGGGAAAGAACTTTCCGTCCGCCTCCCACTACAACTTCCATAGTCCCCCAGCCAGCGCAGCTGGGAGTTGTTGGTGGGGACTGGAGGAAAAGTCCTTTCCCAGCCACTAGCTTTGCATTTAGCCACCGTCTTGGTCTGATCCCGGTCAAGCTCGTTCATTTAATTGTCGTTAGTGCTGATGGATTACATTTCTGTCCCGCCTTTCTTCCAATGAGATAGGGAGGGCCGACACGGCTCTCCGCATTTCCATCTTACATGTTATTGTCACGATAACCTTGTGAGGGAGGCCAGACTGGGACCGCGTGGGCCGACCGAGGTCACCCAGAGATCTCCGTGGCTCGGTCAGGACTTGAATCTGGATTTCCCAGCCCTGATGGAGCGTGTGAACCACGACACCACAACACTTGCTTCTCTCTCGCCATATCGTCCGATGGTGGTTTGGGGTTTTTCTTTAGAGACTAGCACACTTTCCTTTGCTTTCTGGCAACTTCAGTGGGAAACCCAGCTTCCAGCTGGCCTGTGGCACCCTTCTCTTTGCCCTCTGCTTCTGAGCCTAGGCAAAGTGCAGAAACGACGTGACCATCCCTTTGGATGTTAGCAGGTTCCCCTGTATTCATAGACTCATAGAAGAAGTTGACCCTAGAAGGCGCTCAGGTCCAACCCCCTGATTGAGGCAGGAATCCAAGTCAAAGCGGATCTGACCGAGGGTGGTCCAATTTCCACTCGAAGGCCTCCAGTGCCGGAGCGCTCGCCACCTCCCCTTAAGGTCATGGGTTCCCATTGTCGTACTGCTCTAACAGTTAGGAAGTTTCAGAAGTAATTCTCCACTTGTTCTCAACTTCCTCTCTGCCCCGTCCTCTCCACGGGGCCATTTTATCCTCCCCGGCTGCTGGATAGATTTCTTTCCCTTTTCATTTTGTGCCCCCCCCCCATCCTCATAGCCAGGATCCCATGAGAAGACTGGGCTGCCAGATCATTTGGCTTAGAGTCTCCCATCCGCCTTACCACGGACATGCTGGGGGGGGGGTGCTGATGGGAACTCTCAGCCGAAACATTTGTCAGGGCAAAAGTTTTCCACGCCCCAAGTTGCCCCAAATGCCTGTGAAGTTTTGGGTTTGTTGTAGAACCATTTGCTGACCCTGGTAACGTGCTCTGTATCAAGGAGTGTCCTCTTCAGAGCATGAAGCCTGGGTAAAGTAGTATGGAGGATAGGCTGTTACCCAAGCAGCAAATCCCCCCTCTCCACATTGCTGAAATGGTCCAATGGAAAGGCAAGAGCCAATACAACTGGTTCCAGCAACATCGCAGGAGTTGGCAGAACGACACAAACTGCCTCTGGGACTCCAGCTCCGGATTTTGCCTCTAGGTTAACTCCTGATGCCTTTTTCATGCGTGGATATAGCCACAGGGCAGTGGAGGTTTGAAATTAGAGTTTTCCTTCTCCTAGATGGGCTGCCTTCCATGGCTGACGAGCCCCACCTACCCAGATCCTAGCATTATGGAATTGGAATTGGAAGGGGCCTCTGAGGCCATCAAGACCAACTCTTTGCTCAAGGCAAGAATCCCAAGCGAAGCAGCTCGGACCGAGGGCGGTCCGTTCAGTTTTTCCTTAGAGGCCTCCAGCATTGGGTGTGACCACACACGAGGTTGCCCAGGTTGATGGTGAACTTCTCTGCATGGCACCCAGACATTTCAGTTGCTGCAGCTCTTCCCACAGAAGAGCCTGATCATCCTAGGAAGGTGTGTATCAAGCAGCCATGCATCACACAGCCCTCCCCCCTTCTCTGTCATTACCGCATTTGCTGGAATTCAAGGCCCCCTTTAGAAAACTATTTACCAAGTGAAATAGCGCTGAGCTGCCAAGATGTGGTAGGCATTCAAACTAGTTTTGTACAAGTTTAGTGCTAGAAGGATATATATATATAAAGCTGCAATTTACAAATTGCACGGCAACTGAAAGCCTTATGAAGACAAGCAAGAGGCAGGCAAAAGGTGTATGGATCCGTCCCAGAGTACACCCCACTCTGCACGTCGTCAGTGAGGTCTTCTGGACATGCCCAGAAGCTGCCTGAAAGGGCCAGATGGGCAATCAGGCAAGCCAAAAGCGAGAGAAAGCAACATGACTGGAAATGCTACGAAAGCACACAAGCCGGGCTAGCTGAACAAAATATCCTGCTTACTCATGCCAAAATATTGTTTCTCACTCACAATTAATGCTAACGTCATGTAGCTGATGGAGAATACATCTCATTAACCTCGCCAACTCCAGCACAGGCCACTGGGGAAAGCCGCAGTACAGTTGCATCCGTTTGCTACGGATTGGAGCTGCAGGGCCCGGTGTGGGTTTCGTGCGCTCTTTCCCTCCTGGGGTCCCTGACTCTCTTGCCCTTCAGGGCAACAGCAGCAAAAATACAGCAGGTCCTTTGGCAGCCCCACAGACTTGAATGAAGCTCCCGCTCTTTGTGAGAGACTGAATCTCAGGAAAAACTTCTTGACTGTTCAAGGAGTACAACAATGGAACCCCATGACTTCGAGAGGTGGCAAGCGCTGCAACGCTGGAGGCCTTCAGGATAGCCCTCTGTTAGGCTTATCTTAATGTTCTCTCGGACGTGGTGGCGCTGGTGTGATGTGGCAGCGCTGCGGGTTAAACCGCAAAACCCTCTGTGCTGCAAGGTCAGAAGACCTGCAGTCGTAAGATCGAATTCACACGATGGAGGGAGCTCCTGTCGCTTGTCCCACCTCCTGCCAACCTAGCCGTTTGAAAGCATGCAAATCCAAGTAGATAAATAGGTACCACATCAGTGGGAAGGTCATGGCATTCTGTGTCTAGTCATGCTGGCCACGTGACCATGGAAACTGTCTTCGGACAAACGCTGGCTCTGCGGCTTAGAGACGGGGATGAGCGCCACGCCCTAGAGTCGGACACGACTGAACTAAATGTCAAGGGGAACCTTTACCTTCTACTGTTAGATCTGCTTGGATTGGGATCCCTGCCTTGAGCAAGGAGCTAGACTCGATGACCTCATGGGACCCCTTCCAGTTCAGTCATTCTATGATTCTATATTGACTGCCCTTCCTTAAATGTGGTGTCCTCCAGAGGACAACCTCCCACCTCTGCCTGGTGGTGTGGCCTGGGAGGACCGCGTTTCCCCGAAAATGAGACAGTGCCTTATATTAATTTTTGCTCCAAAAAAAACTCATTAGGGCTTATTTCCAGGGGATCTTCTTTTTTTTTTCATGTACAACCATCTATGTTTATTCAGATACAGTCATGTCCTCTTCTGGTTGCTGCACAAGGCTGGAGGGCGGTTTTTTTTACTGAACTGGGGCTTATTTTTGGGATAGGGCTTATATGACAAGCATCCTGAAAAATCCTACTAGGGCTTATTTTCAGGGAAAACAGGGTAATGGCGGATGTAGTGTATCCAGAGGATGCCAGGATGGGGAAATCTGGTACATATCATTTATATTTTGCCCTTTTAAAAGAATCCTTCCTTTCCAGTTGACTGCAAACATTTATCCTCAAGGCAGATGGTTCCTCACTGCACTGGGATCATCCACACTGTTTGTGTAGGGTTGTTTTTTTTTTTAACTTCTCTTAATTATGAGATTGTGTGGCTTCTTCCAGTTGATGTTTGGCTCGTTCATCCCTTTTTTCAAAAAGGAAGTTTAGGAGCCTCACAGCTCAGTGGTTAAACTGCTGGACTGCAGCCAAAACTCTGCTCACAACCCAGGGTTCAATCCCAGGTAGCCGGCTCGAGGTTCACTCAGACTTCCGTCTTTCGGAGGTTGGTAAAACGAGCACCCAGCTCATCTGCGAGTGGGAGCAATGTGTAGCTTTTATAATGAACGTGCAAGCCGCCCAAAGAGTGCTTTAAATGCTGTGGGGCAGTATATAAGCAGCATACTCTCTTTTTTTTGCTTTAATTCCACCCTATTTTTCATTAAATATATATATATTTAAAATAATTAAAAGTTCAGACAATCCATTCCAGTAAGAAGGCATGTTTTAAATAACTGTCTAGAAGAAAATTAATTTCGTGTCCCAAGTGGGATGTTTTGAAGAGGGCTGAAGGTCGCCACCAAAACAGATATACCCATAAACCGATCCTGAGACACTGAGGGGAAATCCAGTGGGGTAGAAATTAAGGCCAGGCCAAAAGTTCTTGATCAGGAGAAGACAACGTTGTGTGGAAAACCGATCCCTGGGTCTCCCCGCAAAGGGGCTTAGCTCTTTGGGGCTGGTTTGTCTTGCAAGGTGAGCTTC